ACATCCGGGTCTCTCTCTACTCAACCTTTTACATCCGGGTATTCCTCTGCTCAACCTATTACATCCGGGTCTCTCTCTACTCAACCTTTTACATCCGGGTCTCTCTCTACTCAACCTTTTACATCCGGGTACTCAACCTTTTTACATCCGGGTCTCTCTCTACTCACCTTTTTACATCCGGGTATTCCTCTGCTCAACCTATTACATCCGGGTCTCTCTCTACTCAACCTTTTACATCCGGGTATTCCTCTGCTCAACCTATGACATCCGGGTCTCTCTCTCCTCAACCTTTTACATCCGGGTATTCCTCTGCTCAACCACATCCGGGTCTCTCTCTACTCAACCTTTACATCCGGGTATTCCTCTGCTCAACCTATTACATCCGGGTCTCTCTCTACTCAACCTTTTACATCCGGGTATTCCTCTGCTCAACCTATTACATCCGGGTCTCTCTCTACTCAACCTTTCACATCCGGTATTCCTCTGCTCAACCTATGACATCCGGGTCTCTCTCTACTCAACCTTTTACATCCGGTATTCCTCTGCTCTTTACATCCGGGTCTCTCTCTACACCTTTCACATCCGGGTATTCCTCTGCTCAACCTATGACATCCGGTCTCTCTCTACTCAACCTTTTACATCCGGGTATTCCTCTGCTCAACCTTTACATCCGGGCCTCTCTCTACTCAACCTTTCACATCCGGGTATTCCTCTGCTCAACCTATTACATCCGGGTCTCTCTCTACTCAACCTTTTACATCCGGGTATTCCTCTGCTCAACCTATTACATCCGGGTCTCTCTCTACTCAACCTTTTACATCCGGGTATTCCTCTACGCCAGGGGTTCCCAACCTATAGGGCCCAAAAAGCCATGTGAAGATAAACGGCCCGAATCTAAGAATATTCGTATACTTGACATGCATAAATAAAGAAATAAATGCATACCTATTAGTCTAGACATGCATATCAACCCGGGAAATAGATGGTTAAAGGTATATCTATCAGATATATAGACAGATATGCCTTTATTTCTGCATCTGTACTGGAAATTCATTAGGTCGGGCTTAGCACATTTTTAACAAACCGGCTGTATGACTCCGAATTAAGAAGGATTTTCTCCCACAGATAATTATCTCTCACATTTTGATAAAACCGATTTTTTCTATGTTGTGTACTTGTATTATAGCTGTTGGCACTATTACATTATGCATAACTAGTAATAACTGAATTTCAAAAGATGACAGACACTGAACGGGGCCGAGTCGATACATGTAGATACCCGCTACATCTGGGTATTCCTCTAAGCAATAGATACCCGCTGCATATGGGTATGTCTCTACTCAAATCGTTACATCCGGGCATTCTGTTCAAACCTTTACATCCGGGTATCCCTCAACTCACACTACATATCTCTCTACCGCTACATCCGGGGTAACCGGGGGTGTGTACATCCGGGGGTTACATCCGGGCACTCTGTTCAAACCTTTACATCCGGTATCCCTCAACTCAAAAACATACTACATCCGGGTATCTCTCTCTAACTCTGGTATCCCTCAACTCAAAACATACTACATCCGGGTATCTCTCCCCTGGAACCGCTACATCCGGGCACTCTGTTCAAACTTTCACATCCGGGTATCTCTCAACTCAAAACATACTACATCCGGGTATCTCTCCCCTGGAACCGCTACATCCGGGCACTCTGTTCAAACCTTTACATCCGGGTATCCCTCAACTCAAAACATACTACATCCGGGTATCTATCCCCTGGAACCGCTACATCCGGGCACTCTGTTCAAACATTCACATCCGGGTATCTCTCAACTCAAAACACACTACATCCGGGTATGTCTCGAAGAAGTTCTCAGTGTTGAAGTTCATTTTTTGTTCTCTAGGTCTCGTTTTCGACTCGAGAGGTGAGTATTGTTCCTTGCAATATTATCTATTATATATTCGTTGTTTTAGTTCGTTTTGAAATCGTGTGCGAGGTTGAATGGGCAATGAGATTTAAGAAAAAAGGATTAGAATTCATCTTCAGGTTGTTTTTTTGTATCCATTTAAGCCAGTTAGGTTTCTGTTGTAGAATTCAAATAACTTTGAAATAGGTCTTTATCTTGCAAAGTGTTGGTATTAAAAAGGTACAACTTTCATGTAAGGAAATTGAATCGAATGATTATGTGTTGTATATTCATATTCGTTTGCTGTTGTTGTTTTTTTGTTTTTTTATTAATTTCTTGTTACATTTTCTTAGTACATAGGGATGATGTACAACTTAGATGTATAGAATTTGAATCGAATGACAATCATATGTTTATTCTCAATCGTTTGCTATTTTTATTATCATTATGTTTAATGTATGGTTTTCTTAGTATAACAGGGATGGAATACCGTATCTCTAAAGCCATATATGATACCGATAGATATTTTTCTTTCCTCCATCGCTATGTTAAGGATACATGCATGCACACACACGCTAAACTACCCATGTCTTCTCTACCCCGCGAAGCCAATGATGACACGGCACTATTTCCGTTCAGGCACAAGAGGTCAAAATTGTCGTATTTTCAGAATTTGGATGCCCCAAGGGAGACACTCAGCCATCTTGTCAAGATGAGTTGATAAGAAACACATCAGGAAAAAGTAAGAGTCATTTCTCTTTACCAAAATTATATCTAAAAATTTCTTGATTTGTTTTTTTTAATCCACGTCTTGTTGTTAAATGTAGGGAAGGAAGGGTAAAATATTCTTTTGTTTGTTTGTTGTTTTACATAATCAGGTTTCTAAAAAAATATATTTATAAACCGATGATCATAAAAACAATCAATCATCATTATCATTTTGGTTTGATGACAAGGTACGACTTATGATCTTAATTATGATAGTGAAATGGAAATGATAGTGATGATGGTGAAGGTGATAGGATGATGACGATCAGTGACATTGCTGATAATGATTGCCGAAGCGAAAATGAAGATTGTCAGTAAGATGATGATGATAATGATACTGATAATGCTGGTGATAATGGTGATGACGATGATAATAATAGTAATAATGATAATGTTCATAGTAATAAATATGGTGATGATAACAAGGATAATGATAATAGTAATAATAACAATAATGATGATGATGATGATGATTAAGTTATGATATTAACGATAATAAAACAACGACAATTAAAATGCTGAATATAATGATAATGATGATAATAATAACAATAACACGGAAGTAATTCATTTACTAATAACCTTTCTAATTGTTATAGATAATGGTCATAATGGTAAAAAGGAAAAGAAAAGGATTATGACTTATTAGATAACAATGTTATTCTTAATGATGATTATGACGCATTACTTTCACGGCAATAAAGATTATCCCAATCATGATAATTTTTAGAATGACAAGAATGATGATAACGATGATAATGATATTTATGTCGGGTGTAAATAACAATAAATTAATATCGCTGCTTTTTACTGATTTATTATCAGGGATGTTGTTATTATTGCAGTTGTTATTATGATGGATCAATAACATTATCATTATTACTATAGTTATTATTAATAGTAGTAGTAGAAGTATTATCATCATTATCATCATTGTAGTTGTAATTATTATCTTTATTTATGATTATTATTATCATCATTGTCATTGTTATTATGACTGTAATGATTATCATTATTATCATCGTCGTCATTATTATTATGACTATAATCATTATTATTATCGGTATTATCATCATTGTAGTTATTATTATCATCATCATCATTGTTATCATTGTTATTATTACTATTGTCATTATTATTATTATATTATATTATTATTGTTATGTCATTTATTATTGTTTTATTGTTATTATCATTATTAATATTTATTATATGATGATGATAATGATAATCATTGTCAATATTATTACTGTCGTTGTTATTTCTTCTTATTATGAAAAAAAAATGTTCTTGATAATAATAATGATAATGATAATAAGGAAAATTATGATGGTGACTGTAATACTGATAATAATAATAATAATAATAATAATAATAATAATAATAATAATAATAATAATAATAATAATAACAATAACAATAATAACAATAACAATAATGGTAATGATAATAACAAAGACAATAATAACGATAGTAATAATAATAATGTTAATGGTGATGATAATGATACTAACAATAATGATGATAATGATAAATAATATGATGATACTAATAATGATTATGATACTGATAGCAGTATTGATAATGATAATGATGATGAGTAGGAGTAGGATTATGATGATTATTATTATAATCAGGATTATAATAACAATAATGATGATAATGAGGATGTTGATAATACTGATGATGATAATGGAAATGATGACGATAATGATTATGAAAATTATATTGGTAATAATGATAATAATAATAGTGATGATAATGATGATGATAATAATAATAATAATGATAATGATAATAAGATTATTACAGTAATAATTATGATAATGGTGATGATAATGATAATAATACTAATAATAGTGAATATGACAATGATAATTATAATGATAATGTTAATATTAATGACAGTGATGGTAATATTGAGAGTAATGATAATAATGATGATACTCAAAATTATAATGATAATTATTATTATTGTTATGACAAAGATGATGATAATAATAAAGATGATATTATTAATTATAGTATTAATGATAATGATATTGATAATGACAGTAATAAAAGATAAATGATAATGATGATAGCATCAATTATCATGTTAATTATGGAAGTTAGTATGAAGAGAAATTATGATAATGATAACGATAATGATGACTAATAGTAAAGGTAGTTATGATAATAATTATGATGACAGTGGCAGTAGTAGTGATAATACTGATAATGTTAGTAATGATAATAGTAAAAACAATGATAGTGATGATGGTAATTATAAGAATCACTGTAACGGTGACAGTAATAATAATGATAGTTATTATTTAGGTAATGATAACATTA